AAAAAGGACTTCGGGATGGCGACTCGTACAGGAAAAATCAAGAAATATACCCCAGCGGAATGAAGCAATGTAAAATCTTAGTCAGGGCCGAGTAGGTATAGCCGTGTAATAAGAAAATACATAGCAACTTTCAACTGATGACAATTATGGCAGCTACAGTACGCACACGGCGAATGGCTGCTGTGTGTTGCGTACACAGAGCCAACGTCGCCAAAAGCAACAGGTGGCTAATGGAAAAAGACCTGCAAACTTTGGCAGTAGACTTGGATTTTCCTACATCTAACCGTACATAGAGCTGAATACATTGCCATGGGAAACAGACGAAGGCCGTTGAGTCGATATTGGCAATTAAATAGCTATTTGAGCTTAGTCGTATCGGCTTGAGCCCTAAAGCTGATATTGCACTAATTCAAGACGCCGCCTGTCTATCATAAAAAAGGTATATGAAATAGACATCCCTGACACGGGAAAAGTTGAAGCAACATAGAACTTCAAACACATCCAATATGCCTGGTAGATTTGCGCCATCTACCAGGCATATTGGATGTGTTTGAAGTTCTCACCTGCCTGTCAAGAAAAGGTGTATCTTGCAAACTAGCACAGAAAATATGTTTGGATACCTCTGTGAAGACCTAAGATCCTCGTTCGTAAATGGTGCGGTTACGATCGATCGCCACGGATGGTATACGAACTAGAGGGGCTTGCACCGAGGCCTCCCCTGCTCACCCTACCTCTTCGGAGTAAACGGCTCGTGCTGCATGAATTGCGTAGTCGAATTTACCTGTCGCGAGTACCCATCGGGGGCAGGGGGTGTAAGTTCTGCAAGTGCGAAGAAGGCGATTCGAGTCAGGAACTTTGTTATGCTGGAGTAGTAAAAAGAGGACTACTTAGCTATCGAGGAGTGCTGCCGTACTGTCGAGTGATATACCTGTAATAGTGCAGATCAAGGGACAGCGTTCAATACTGTGAAAATCCAAAAAGATTATTCAGTGTCGTATATTACGCTCCGGCTTGTACTGTAGGCTATTCCTTTCTCCAAGTTTATACCAATGGGCATTAACGCTTAGTCGCGTTTGTGTCCTATCAGCTTGACGCAAGAGAAATGAACTATTTAATGACAACAAAGAGCTGTTTACAATGAAATGTGCTCTTGTCAAGATTGAAGTGCACCTGCTTAGCTAGAAGCCGTTTGTGATGTTTATTGATCATGATTTGTTGTGGCTCTTCTGAGTTGCTGTAACGGGGTTATACGTGACCTTATATTAAGGAATAAGTCACACAATATGGCGCGACCACACAATGGTGTGGCTACACCTTAACAAAAAGCCACCACGTGGTGGGACTGCCAGGATTTAAGCATTTTAATTACGCTTTACTATTAACTTAAAAAACCTATAGATTTGGATATAGGCGGCTCTGTCTCAAATAAAACAAATTAAATACAGTTTTAATTTTAAACGGGAAATCGCATTTGCCTTGGGTTAAGGTTGTGAGTACTTTTGGAGTTAGCAGATTGCGATCCGCTACACTCATACTGGTTCTAGTATAGAACGTAAGGTCGATGGCCTTAGCTTGGCTCCCTTTAAGCAAAGAGTTACAACAGCCCCGCTGCAGTTGCCATTTTATCGAAGCAATCGGTTGCACGATTGTACCGTCTTTTTATGCTTAATGTTCAACAGCGTTGACTCACTTGAAAAATCCGCGTGTTGTGATACAAATGATAAGGATCACAACCCGGAACTTTCGAGGCCGTAGTAAAAAAAGGAATAAAGAATACTCAGTGAGTGCTATAACGAGTCTGATCGTCCCGGCGTTGTGGTTTTTATTTTGTCTGCTTATTTTGCTACTGTCAGCTATCTCATATCGAGGAAGGGGCAGGACAGTAGTTCTGACAACATGCTATACACCCAATAACGTTTTACAGATTGCTCCCAACGAACTGGACCTGGCCATAGGAACCCAGATTGTCCTTTCGCAGGCGCAAGAGTCGTAACGACTTTAACTAGTCTCATCGCGCTGTGATCATGACATTCAAAATACAGCGCCGCCAAAAACGACACCGAACTAGATTATCGTACTGAAGGAATGCAGAGCATAGAGGGGATGGCTCAGCCGAATGTTTTCAGATGAGGCCAGAATATGGAGAGTTAATTGAAACCGCATCAAAGGATTTATTGTCATCGTCACAAATTACATCTTTTTAAAAGCAATAACAGCAATTATAGCATCGTATTAGAGGCTCGTAAAATCATATAATGTGGTATAACAGAGAAAACTTAACACGTGACAATGCTTCACGAGCAGATACTTGGCGGTGTCAGGAGCGATGTGGGAACTTGGAGCCCAGTGGGTGCTCATTGAGTGCTTGCATTTGCGCAATGTATTAAAATACAAAATAACTTTGAGACTTAGCTCGTCCCGCATCATTGTGAAGAGTACGTACACGACGACTGTGAATGTCCACATTACATTATCTCAGGTACGACATTGTACATTTAATCACATTGTAATGTTACTATCTCGATAAATAAATTATTGATGCGAATGATGATGTTGGGACTCCTTATAGGGGATGTGCATGGTACACAAGTACAGCTTTGTCGTGCATTCAGTAATATGTATAATCCTAGCATTACTAAGAAAGTATGCGTCAAATCGAGGATAAGACCAGGCAACTAGATGCGAGGTAACTCTCGATTCCGCTACTTGGTGGTACGGATGCAGCCATCAACAGCGGCTTTCCAACGCGGACTATTTGAGTCAAAACATCCTCTGTGCAATATTCACGGCAACCCTATCTGATAAAATGTCTTCAGCACAGATCAAGCGCGGAAGATTTCTCGCTATAGAATCCTTGGACCATGAATTTAACCTCAATGAGGCTTTGAGCCATCGTAGGGTGATACTAATTTCAGGATTTGTTTTAATGGTAACCATCATCTCTGACACCGAGCGCCGGGTATCAGAGTTGTTTACTCGATCGACATCAATTAAAGCCATACTAACTGTGAGCCGTTCACAGCGCACTTGAGAAAGACTCGTGCTCTCGCGATATATTCGAATAGCGAAGTACATTAATGGAAGGCCACGAGTGCTGCTGCGTAGATTTGCTAAATAATGATTCCACAACATACGCAAGATTTGCTAAAAATCGAGACGATGATTCACCACATACGCAATGTACAGCAAGTCCATGTAGTGATGTACAGGAGACGTCCTATAATTGAAATACACGCATCTCTTGTTGTCCAACATCCGTCGTACTACTGACAGCTTTAAGTCTGACTTAAACGGATTGTTTTCGCCTTGGGTCTCTGCTGATTAATTTTTCGACAACGTCGTTGATAATACAAACTTTCTTGATCATGCGTGTCTAGTCATTATCGGTTTTCACTTTCAAGACGAGCTAATACCTTCTGCAGTCTTCATCCCTTGACTTTTTTGCTTTGACGAAGCCCACAACTCGTAAAGCCTATTCATTTCAACGAGGAGTCTTGCTCCATGCACAACACATTTGCTTCAGACCGTAGAAACACGTATGCTACTCTTGACAGGAGCGAAACTATGGGTTATTTCAAGTATTAGCACAACTTCAAGATTGCGGCATCCGCAACTAGTAGCTCAGTCATAAGGTACAACTTCCAGCACTATCCAAAAAATTCATTCCAATCGCTTCGTTGGCTACAAGCGGTGCCTTGTACAGCTTCTGTGCTCGTTTCGCGTCGAGATCCTATCGGTTGCAGTTCGTCATTGTTGGCACCAATGTCCAAATTTATCAAGCCTGTACGCTTCAGGTTCAATCCTTGTTGTTATAACCCACCTTTGCGCATCGTGACCTACCATTACTTGCTGACATGCTGTTGAGTATCATTCATGTCATAATATTAGTTTTGAGCACGGCTTCTGTGTACAAATGAGTGTTCAAGATCAAGATCGATGAAACGGATACGATCGAGACAAGGACCCATTTGGGTTGTGGTCACGAACAGCTTTTTAGAGTACCTACGCCTTGGCTTTTGCTATAGGCATAGAGCTTGGAATGTCAAGGTCATTTTGATCTTCACCAGAAGGTGAAAGATGGGCCAAACACTGACAGAAGCGACTATAAAATCGCAAGGTATTCTATCGGGATTAAGGATCTGAAGCATGTCGTGTGGTAACTTTAAGGTATCAAGGAAGTCATTCGGTATCCTGTGAAGGAATTTAAAGAATGACATTTTCTAAGGTTGAGCCAATCTTCTGGTCGTTTATGCATAAAATTTGACCGCAGCAGCCTCTTCGCTTGGATATGACGTTGAATTTTGAGCTTTCAACTCGCAAATGAGGACCACATCGTGTCAAAAGTTGTGAGATGTCAAGTACTCTTCACTTTCGCTATGGGATATACTCAGTACATCTAAATACATCGAAGGCTGCTTCTTTAATGGTAGTGAACATGTTACCGCACAATTAACTTTCGAGATTATTGTCAATTCATAACGCAATTTGCGGACGAAACTTCGTAACATTGACTATGAGGATTATCGAACTTTGAAAGCTACTGAGAAGTGGGTTCTGTCTCCAAAACGTTAACAGAAACGTTCCCAGCCGCTCCTCTACATCACTTTTTTAACCAACAAGATACTGTTTAATGTCGAACTCGGCGCTTCACCTTACAATTCATTACCGGAGCTGCAGGAGTGACTTCAGGTGCTTCACTTGGGGTGAAATATGCGTCATCGGGGTCATCAGGTGTATTTCCGGTCTTAGTCATGGTCTCGCTTGACGGAGTTTCGGCTGGAGTATCCTCATCATCTCCCTCGCCAGCAACAGTATTTTGCTCTGGAGAATAATCGCTCTTGCCTTTGCCCGCAGAGCCACCAGAGCCTCCCTGTGCAATGGTATTCATGCCGAGTTCTTTCACAAGATAACCTTCATCCCACAGCGTCTTAAAAGCCTCGTCAAAGAACAAACCGGCATCTGGACCACCATTACATGTGCCGTCACTCTCACCGGGTACTTTAATCCACATGAAATAGTCCAAGTTAGCAATTTCCGTTTCTGATGTTGGCGGAATGCCCATTCCTGCTGGTAAAACATTGCACCAATCTGTGCTTGTAGGCTCCCTATCAAATGTCAAGAATGTTAGAACATGAGAGCTAATTACATAGAAACAGAGCGCAAACGTACAGATAATTTCGACTCGTATCAGCAATACAGTGCATATCAGTTGATCCAATTGCTTTTTGAAACTTGGCGCACAACTCCGATATTTGTTTGTTTGAACGATAGTTGGAAGTATTAAGCACGATACCTTTGACTTTACCAGACAAAGAGAGTTTCTTAATGACAGATACTACTACCACCAGCTTGTCAGGGGAATCAACAATCCAGTAACCAACATCCACGTAAAGTTCTGCATTAGGATTCTTCGAAAGGATGCCAACAGCAACTTCAAGATTCTCTTCGTATCCTGCCTCAGCACCACAACCATCCTTTTCAGCAAGAAGACCAACGGAATCAGGCTCCACAACATATAACACCTTTCGTGTCCCAACGGCAGTTGTTAGTTGTGTCAAAAATTTCTTGTAATCAGCAGTATTTTTGACTGATCCGGCATTCGAGAAACCACCACTGCAATCTTTGTTTGGAATACCATAAACGACAACTGTCAATCGTGAATCTTCAGGGCAGTTTTTAACAAGACGTTCAAGCATTGTTTTCTTCTCGGCTTCAGTTTGACGATCAGTATACCAGGCAGCAATCGAATATTCTTCAACTGCATCGATTGCAAAAGCTAGTTCTGGATATTTCGTCTTTGCTGGTTCAAACGATAAAGGCACCATGGAACATAATTCCTCACCAACAGATTCTATTACCGGGAAGCCTAAAGCGAGTGACGCTAGTATGACGGCGGAATGCAGAATCTTGACCATAGTGACAGCAACTGAACGTAGTAGGAAAATCCGTGTGCTGTGATGTGAAATTAAAACTGAACGACATTGTACATTGAGCTGCTACGTCGCGACATTAGCAAACAATGTATTGGTAGAGGCTCTCAATTTACAGACAGGCTGTAAAAACTAGTATATTACTATGTCAATATGTCAATAGTGTAAAGGCCTTGCAAAAGCTTAAATTTGACAGGAAAAATGCATTATCCACACATATGCAACAAAACTGTACATGTGGCGTAACCAAATGTAGTCTAATTGTGGAAAAAATAAAAGTGCGAGAAAAAACGCATATAGTATATGAAAAAGCGAGAACTTTTGTGGAAGTCACATCTTTTTGATATTTTTAGCTACATGAGATGTAAGAAGCTAATGTTCCAATGTTATCTTCACATTATTTTATGCTGAAGGCTTCGTATGGCAACGTAAAAGATCCAAATATCGTTGAGTTGTTTACTTGGTCACAATCACTTTGTATGCTAGCTGCGTTGAATAAAAGTAACGTTTTGAGCTCGTCAATAGCTCTAATTCATAATTTGTCACTGAAATCCTCACAACCAAAATTGTAAATTTTGGACGGAATTAAGCTGTAAAGATGACAGAATTACAAGACTAGACACGTTTTGAGTACACTAATCTTTTTGAGCCACAAAGCATCAATATCGTAACTTTCCATCAGTAGACAACTCAAGTATTTAAAGGCTCAGTGCATTTGACCTGAAATGAATCATTTGACTCAAAATTCGTAGTTCGTCATATTGTCTTGTAGGTAAAGCGTTGTCTTTTCGAAACGAACATTATACGATTGCGTATGTTTTCATCATACATTAAAGATAACATGTGTGTACAGATAATAGAAGACGCAAGCCCCATACGTTTCTGGGTATCAGGGATGAGAAACTTCTGGGTCTTGGTACCTATCAACCAATAGCTAAGCTATTCAACAGAATATGTTTCTTTAAAAGTTGAGATACAAAAGTTTCTAGCAAAGATATACTGGTGTTCGTATGATCTAGTAGTAAACGACTCACGCGTTTCATAGACTAGAGGGATCACGTCAGAGTGATCACAATAGTTAAATTGCAAAAACCTACTTGAACCTTGTTTAACAGCCAAAACAAGGTATCTCTGACCAATTCTAATAAGCAAAGACCCCGTACATACAGAAGGTCTCATGATTTCGAGTTGAATAGTTCATTTGATCAGCATCCGGGTAGTTCCGTCGTTGATATCGGCGTTCGAGCAAAGCAGCGACGATTAATCGCAGAGTAGCTTGTTGGATTTTGATGAGAAAACTGGCATAAGTAGCCAGATCCTTGTGGATTCGTCAAGCCAAGAATGTTGAAGGTTTAATCTTGATGTGGTTTTGTAATTGATACGAGTCAAAAATCGTGATCAGTCAGGTGCAATTACTTGCATGCAGTTAACATGTAGCTTTCAGCTAAGAATCACTCAAATCTGTTTCTCACTTTCTCGCGCATAAATTTCAAGCCAGAAAATGATGAGCCTGATGATTTATAAGCGCAGACTCAACTATGGAAAGCCGATAACTTTTTATCGGAGATTGTTTTGCTGGCTTTAAGCTTCAGATCGTAAATGAATATCTAACTCTTTAGTTGGTGTTTGATTCTAATGATCAATGATCAACATTTCTGCAATTGCAACATTGTCAACAACCGCGCAGTTTGAGATCGTCTTATGGATGTGGATGTCGAGGGTACAACATATAAAGATTGTATATAACTTTTCAACTCACGCACTGCATGCCGCCTCGAGGTGTTTGTAACATAGTGCCAAGCTCAAGATACATCACAAAACGGTGCAACAACAAGACTAGAGTCTGTGATTGTTAAACATTAAAATTAATATATTATACTGACCGGCTTTATACCTTCATCTTACGTGTTTTGCAGCTCACTGTGATGAATTCAACCTGAATATATGTCGAAGCTGGACAAGAAGTGTTGGCCTGCAAACCAGCATGAGTCAGATTCATCTTTACGGTCGTTGATGTGTTCAGATTCATCTTTACGGTCGTTGATGTGTTCAGACTCATCTTTAGATTCATTGATAGCGCTGTGTTCCTTCCAAAAGACTACAGAAGCATCTATGATTGCCGAAACTGCCTGAGAAGTCAGACCGACAGTAAACGATAACTGATCGCCTCCTTCGTCAAGCTTCTTGCTGAATTATGATTCTGATAGAAAGAGAGTTGACCTCCGTTTCGGTCGGCGACTGGGTTCATCTTCTTATGCGTCTGGCGTTGGATCTGTACCTTTGCAGGTCAGTCTGACAACAAATTCGACAATAAATTGCTGGCCTTCCTTCCTAACCCTCGACTCTTACCATTATCTTTCGCGCTGTCATTGCTGCGAAATTTCCTTTCATCCAGCAAGTAGAATTCAATGCTCAGTAACAAAAGATATACGTGAACGGCCGTTCATTATATTATCCTGGTCAGATCGGTAAAAATAGCAAGGTAGATGTGCATCGCGAAGGCTATTCTTGTCAGTGCTTACCACCCTGTTGCACCCATCTAGTCAGCTACTGACTTGTAAGACTGCTCGAGGCTCAGTATTCTTGACTGCACATCTATTCTGTTGCGATGTTTTGACGCCAAAAGCTCTAATTTGGTAAATTTCACTTGCTTGTGTAGTCCATCTGTAGCCGCTATGGATGCGTCCACCGCAGTAACGAGACTAGTCGCTTTCAGTTGTGAGCAAGTTGGATTGAAAGCGTTGGTTTAGCGCTGTGCTAAGTCAAATGCGTCGTCGCACTAATGAAATAGACCCTCTAGGGTGCAAAGTTGTTTTTTAGGATGACGACATTGATTATTTCATTGTCCGAAAGAACTTAGTCTTCATCTCACGACCACAGCTCTGCTCAATCCTACTTACTACTTATCAAATGGATCCTTTCATGATGAAAGAATTAACAAAGAACAACGGAATGGTAGTAAAATTCGGGTCAGAAACACTTTAATTAAAAGCTCCGAGAGTCTCTACGAGCTCTACATGTATGGCGCCAAGTGTTGTCTACTTGTCTACTTGGAATTTCAAGATCTTAAAACGCCTGTTATGGATTGCTCTACATCTGTTATACTGCAGCGTACGTTCATGACTTTTGCGGAATCTCCAGACCTTGTAACTAAGCTGAAATAAGTTTTAAAGAAGAGATTCTTCATGTAAGATTGATCGTCTAATTTGTTAACGTGACCATAAAATCGAGCGATATTCAATCACCCAACACAATTACACTAGGAAGGTATTTGATCGTTTGTAGCGAATATTTCCCATTCCATACCGGCAGATATTGCGTTAGATTATCCGTTAGCAGCCAACTCAAGAAGAGAAAGAGAAAGATGACCCGATACATCGGTCGTTACGTGACTATGCTGGCTTGTCTAGCTCCATGACTTTCACTGTAATCTGCTATGACTTACGCTCACAGCACTAGATTGGTCAATAAGAGCTGCAATCAAGTCTGTTATGGTTCAGAACTTCTTGGAAGATCAGATTCTATAAACGTACCCTACTGACTCGTAGCGGTACGAGCTTTATGTCGCCTATTGCAACAGCAATAAGGTAGCTGACACTTTTACAAAATCGTGAGGTAAGCGTTAGTCAAGAGAATTTACATCTGAGCTTGGGATAACATGCATGATTGCTCCACGCAGAGTGCGAGCATCTCACTAACAATGCATGTCAATCACTGCGTTCTATATTCTGTTTACAAGGTTTCTCTTTAATGAGGTTTCACAAAATGAGTTTTAGCCTGTATGACAGCACCTGCATTTAATAATTTTTAAGCATATGAAAATGTACAGTTAACCTGTCAAAACGATTGTATTCTTTTTGTAAAAAGATCGAATTAAGTAAATTTCAATTCCCTCTCCGTAATATTTCGAAGGGATTCAGTCAAGCAGAATCTTTCGAAATCTTTGAAGAAGTGTCATCATAATGTCTGGATGCCATGAGTTCATCTCCCTCCTTACATCTTATCATCATCTCAATCTTTCCCGCTGATATTATACCGACTCTAAATACAATCCTCTGGCTTTTAATCATTATCGAATAAACTAGCACACCATCCTTAGGTTGATGCAAGCACCTCAGTGCCATCTGATAGCATATGTGCCGCTAGAATGTAAAGTGAGTCAATTGAAACTGATTCAGCTGTCTATCGCAATCATACGAAATCAGGAATCCATCGCTTCTTAACGTATCGAATAAAACCAAATGGTTCATGCGTGTCAGAATGAATACAGAGAGCTACCGCAGATTCATGGCAACAAACGCTTTTCGATCAGAATCATCGTATGGCGATTCTATTCTCCTTGTTGTCGACTGATGCTATTCATTCTTAAAAATTCCATTGCCAACTCAATCGACTTTCATCAATATGGCCAAGATCTCTCGTATGCTACTTGCAGTCATAGCGCTTCAAAGTACAATACTTGCTGAAGATCTTTGCTCTACTACGCCATACTCATACTCTCTGGCCAAGACAACGTATCCGAATCTTAAAACTGCATTGGAGACACTAGAGCAATATTCGATTACTGCTTGGTATACTGATCGCCAATCGGAAGCAGCGAGTACTGCGTTACTAGCGAACATTACATCAAAATGTTCTGAAGATACTCGTATGACAATTGTCGTTTATGGTCTTCCAAACAAAGATTGTAATGCTGGACTCTCGTCTGATGGAACCGTTCAGAATTCAAAAGACTACGAAAAGTTCCTATCGAAGCTGACGAGTGCTATTGGTTCTCGTAAAGTGCTATACATCGTCGAACCTGATGCTGTGGGTCTTCTCGCTGATAATGGTTGTGGGAAAGCAGCTGGATACTTGGAGAACCTTAAAATTGCTGTCACAGCTCTGTCAGCGAACCCAAATGCAGTATTGTATATGGACATTGGCTACTGGCTCTTAGCCGACCCATCCAAGACTACAGAAGTAGCAAAGATTGTCAAAGAACTATGCACTTCGAGTAACCTTAAAGGTGTGGCAATCAATACTTCCAACTACCGTTCAAACGACGAATGTACGACGTATTGCAACAACTTTCAAACTGCCATGGGGTCGACAACAATGTCGTGTATTGTCGACACAAGTCGCAATTACAACGGCTCGCCTACGACCGATTGGTGTAATATCAAGTCTGCTGGTATTGGTAAGCCACCTACCTCCGAGACTGGTTTCTCGAACATTGATTACTATCTATGGGTTAAACCACCTGGAGAGAGTGACGGCATTTGTTCTGGAGTTACACAGTCGAATGTTTCGTTGACTGGTGTCAATGCTGGTTCGTTCTATGATGAGGGATTTCGTTTACTATGGGATCAAGGTTACTTTGTTAAAGAACAAGGGATGCCAATGATTTCTGATGGAAGTACAGTTGAGACGATTGGTAAAACTGGCTTGGAGACGCTCGACAACAGTGTGGAGCAAGATGTTGGCCAGGATTCGGATAGCACTACAACAGAAGCTGGTACAGTTACTCCAGTCGACATCGAATCGCTTGGAATTCCAACAACACCGTCAATCCCGACAACTAATACGACAACTGCGATTGAAACACCGAACGTCACTCCTTCGACTATTCCTTTGATCAACAGCTCATGCAAAACCAAAACAAGTTTGCGTCAACTGTAGAATTTATGTTGAGATCTATTTCGTTGTAGCGATTGTAAGCCTGTGTCTGCGTAAAGAGAATCATATAAAAAAAACACGTAATTGAATTGCCAAGTTATCTCAAATAACAACATAGTGAAAACGTAGCTTCTTGCTTCAATTACTAACATATAAAAGCTCTTTAATCTTTCTCGAAGTCTTCTATTCTAAAGTTCAAAGAATACTTGACTCATCATGTTTCGTTGTTGATTTCTGGACACGAAAGTTTGGTAATGGAGCTAAAGCTGATAGTGGTAAATTCTTGTCATCATTCAATAATTTCTTCTGTTCCCGACGAATTCCAATCACAGTAGCAAGAGAAATCACAGTAGCAGCCACAACACCAACTAATAGAATTGTACCAGATGCTGTAGTTTGATCATTTGTATCTTTCTTTCCTACTTGTAAAGCTTCAGCTGATCGATGAGAAAGATGTAAAGTTGTGATCTTTTCATTATCCACATCACGTGTCCTGTCCTGAAAATTTCCAGTCTGATTCGAAGTAAAATCTTGATCATCAAACTCTTGATCTTGTATGAAATTTGTTGAGACTACTGAGCCTACTAAACGACGTCGTGTTTTACCAATAGGAGGATATCCTAACTCAGCAACAAGAGTACCCTGATTCCAATGAAATTTAAATATTTCATTAAAAAACACACCAGCATTAGGTCCAGGTATGGAATCAGAAGTATGGTTACGACATGTGCCGTCACTATCTCCAGATGGTTTAACCCAGAGAAAATAATCCACGTTACTATATCCCGTTTCATTAGATGGTGGGGTACCTATCCCTCCATTTCTAACGTTACACCACTCGTTATTTTCAGGTGCACCTATATGTTCAGAATGTAACCGAAATAAAGTCAAAAAGATGCAAAGTTCCGTTTCTATACGTTACTTACCATTTCGGTTTCGAGAAGTATCAAAGATACAATGGAGTTCAGTCGAGTCCATAGCAGTTTGAAACTCTGTACAGAGTTGAGCTAATTTACTAATCGCTTGATAGTTTGAAGTATTCAATGCAATGCCTTTAACATTAGACGTAGCAGTCACAAGTTCTTTCACAATATTCACAACAATTGCTAACGTATTGGGATATTCGAGACTCCAGTAACCCACATCCAAGTAAATCACTGCATTTTCATTCTTTGATAGGATTTCAATCGCAACTTGTAAATTCGTCATGTATCCAGCAGTTTGACCACATCCAGTTGTATCAGCCATCAGTCCAATAGCATCAGGTTCGAGTATATATAAAACTTTTCGAGCACCTATTGTTGACGTGAGAATGTTTAGAAATGTGATATATTCTGCAGTTGTATGCACGGTACTTCCACTCGTCGATTCTGTTGATGCACAGTCTTTCTGTGGTATACCATACACTACAACACTAAGTCGTGAATCTTCAGGACATGATGTAACGAGATCACGTGCTGTCTTGGCATAATCTCCATTTTCAAGGCGATCAGAGTACCAAGTCGCGATACCAAACTCCTCGAGTGCCTCGAGAGCAGATTTTGACTCAGGATACGCTATCTTGGCTCCTGGATACGTTACTGGCGGTAACGAACACAGTCTTTCGGCTTCAAGCGCTGGTATAGATGAAGCTAAGAAACACCAAGCTATACGCTTCATTCGTGAGGTTGAATGACAGAGAATTTTGGATGGAAATTAACAAGTGTTCGAAACATGTGGAAGAACAAGGTATAGAGACGTACAGAGCACCATCATGGAAAGCAATCCTAGCCAATCGAAGGCTGACAATTTACTGTCTTAATAAAGATGGTAATGAATGAACAGGATAGATACTAGCTGCTCTTGTTCATACTTGGTAGGTGAAAAATGAGCTAATCTGAATTAAATTAGATTAGCTAGACGAATAGACCTGATGGGAGTTTGATCCACATCTCACAGAATCGTGCTACCACCTGTAGGTGTGTGTTTAATCTCAATATGAATGTGACTGTCACCTGGAGTCGCCAAAGCAGCATCAGCATCATCCTCACGTGCTTTCTTCATACGCGATGCCGCAGTACCAACTGCTGCCACAGCAGCTACAGTCGCGAGAAGTCCCAAACCAACTGTACTCGTGCTACCAACGTTATTCGTTTCACTCGATTGCGTATTAGCCTGTTGAGCGGTTTGATCTGAACCATTTTCACCTAAATCATCAGTAGTTGAGATGGGATTGGCACTAAGAGAAGTGTTTTCAGAAGGAGTAGAAGTTGACGTCTTCTCGGGAGGTAACGTAGGTGTTACAGCATTCAGTGGTGTCGGGTTTGTAGCAGGACTTGCTTCAGGAGTCGACGTTGGAACGGGAGATGGAGTGATAGTGCTTTCAATCGATTCCGTAGGAAAGTTAGGATTGCAATCCTTCGCATGTAATCCGGACGTCAAACTTGTCGGTTCATTAGCACTTGGAATTGAATTGTCAGTCGATGATGATGAATTGAGATCAGACATCGTAGTGTACGCATCATTCTGTGTGATTGAATTACTTTGCTGCAAAGCCAACACATTGTTGGAGTGTACGGCTACAATCACAGCCGTCCAGACCGTAAATTTTCGAAACATCTTAACCGTCGGGGTCTTTTTCGAGTCTGTGTCTTCCTCTTTGAGTTGAATAGTTTCTGACGTGGGCTACAGAGTCGGGCGATGTAAAAGTGGGGGGGGATTGTTTCAAAACGAAATTGAAGGTGAAGGAGAATCCTTGACATGTTACTCAACGCTACGATGGTCGTTCACATGTGAAGATAGACTGGCTATGTTAAAAGCGCATCTTTATCTCTTCTAGATGTACTGACTCCATAGGGTAGATAATGTTCAAGGGTTATAGGATGAAAGACTAGAAATAATAGGATTCGAAAGCAAGGACTGAAATCCTAACGTTTTATCGCACGTCATAGACTCTAGTCAACATATACTAGGATGACGACAGGTCGGTTTTTCCCTATTTGAAACCCGCAACACATGGTTTCGAAATATTACTAAAAGAAGGTTTTGCAAATCATTTAAATAGAACTTGGTTTGAGTAATAGAAATTTTTAAGTTGCCTTTATTTCTTACATAAATTTAGTATTACTACTCTTGTACCCATCCTCGACCGAAAATTCTAGCACCGTGCGACAAAATGAAGCATTTTATTGGATAGGTGCTGTCTTGGATACAAAAATAAGCCATTTAGTTTATTCTTTTGGAATGTCGTCGATCTGAAAGAATCAAAGTCTTTTCTTACAAAGGCTGTTAACTACCTTCTGTCCATCACAGCTGTAGCTACTAGTTGAAATCTTAACGACTCTATCAAATCGAGTGGACAGAATGACTTTCATTTATTGTTTGTATAAGACACAAAAATAATCCATTTTACCATCTGGATTTGTAGTTATTTCGCCTGTCTGGTGCTAGGATGGTGGAAATTTGTGTACAACCACATCCAAGCATCTGGTCCCTTTGTACGATCAATGTTGGATGAGTACATTCCATAACTTGGATAACAAGTGCCATACCTTCTATAATGTCATACCTTCTATTGCATGTACTTGTCTTTGTTCTAGCTGAAAGGCAGTCGTAGTTGGCTAGAAGAGCGACGAAATCTTGCTCTTACATCTTTTACAGGTAGTCACTTATGAAAAGTTACTTGGAATATTATAGTAGACATCATGTATCGTCATACATATTCGACCTTTTCATCTCGATTCAGTAGAAGCAGACGTTCGATATTAAAGGTAGGGCATTACTGCTAAATTTTTGGACATTACCAGCAACTTGATGTCGTGTATTCGACAGAAATGATTTCTACTCATCTCTCTATCATGCTAAGACTTAAAAACTAGCAATTATTGATAACAAACTTGACGCAGCAAAAATCCACATCCATGTCATTGTATGCCACGTCAATGGACTCGCAGAAGATTCGGGATCGTCAATGGTATCCATTTGTTGAGTACTTACAAAGTAACCTTGATTCCAAAGTTTAATGAAATGTTCATTAAAGAACTGACCAGCTTGTGGACCTGGCAATGCATCCATCGATTCATCTAAACACGTTCCATCACTGTCACCAGGAGGTTTTAAGTACAAGAAATAGTCAATTCCATCCAAGTTCGTCACGTTTGTAGGTGGTGCTCCAATTCCAGCTTTTCTTACATTGCACCATTCTGAACTTGATTCATTGACAAATTCTTGAAAGTTTCGTGAACTATCAATCACACAATGCAAGTTTGTGGAACCCATTGCCGTTTGAAACGCTGTACAAAGCTTTGCAATCTCTTCCGTTGCACGATAATTCGAAGTATTGAGTGCAATGCCCTTCACACGTCCAGTTTTCGCAAGTTTTTTCACTGTTTTAGTCACAATGTTCGTTGTATTTGATCGTTGCAATGCCCAAAATCCAACATCAAGATAAATTTCAGCATTTGGATTCTTGGATAAAAGTTTAATCGCAGTGATTAAATTCTTTTCATATCCAAATTTCACTGCACATTCATTGCTAGCCAGTAACCCAATTGCATCTGGTTCCAAGACGTAAAGAACTTTTCGTTTCTCAATAACAAATGCAAGATTTGAAATAAACTCTTTGTAGTCTGCACTTGTCTTCACAGTACCTTCACCACTGGAATATCCAGCGTCACAGTCTTTATTGGGAAGTCCATAAACCACGATACTTAATCTTGAAGATTCGGGACATGCTACAACGAGGTCCATCGCTGTTTGTGTAACATCTCCACTATCATCACGATCTGTGTACCACGTTGCAATACCTAAAGTCTCAAGATGACTTAGAGCAAAGGCAGAGTCAGGGTACATCTCTTTTGCCGATGCGTACGTGATTGGAGGAAGCGAGCAAAGTGTTTCGGCGGTATGAATCACTTTGAAATTCCAGCTAAATACAGCGAGGAAGATTAAGTTTGTTAACATGTTTGCTAATTGAGGAATGAAAAATTGGTTGACGATCGCTCGACTGGTCATTTTCTTAGGCAGATGTCCCGCATATACGATAGACAGGACTCGACTTTGAATTTGTCTGAATACTTTCGTATCGTACAATTGTGAGATGGTAAGTACAAATCCTTCGGACTTTTTCTAGCTTTCTTAAGTGTTTTACCCAATAATAAGACGTGCTGACGTCACCTTGAAGGTTTGATTAGCACAAAAAGGTACTCAGTATTCTATGACGCTTTCCTATGTGGTGCATGTGAAGTCACCGTTTGTACATTTATCAACGTGGACTCGTAAAATGAAAGCTTACTCGGTGCGAGGTGTACGGCAACCTGGTTGTAGTTTCCTACTCCAACGCCCCCTGTACGAGGCAGTTCACTTGGTGTATTTACAGAGTCAGCACATGCATCGATACCACTAATTGGGGTTCGAGGACAAAAGTAGAGCACTATGTGTTTTGTAAACCTCCACACCAATATGTTTACCACACTGGGGTCACTATCTAACGACACCCCGCAAAAATGAATGACTTGTGCAATTTTCTTTTTCACTACTTGCATCCTACAGTGCTTGCATCAAGAACCCGATACTTTATGAGTTCACATATCTCAGCGAATTTCTGGAAAAGATGCAACCTTCGTGACCGATGGCGTCCAGTTATAGTCAACGGGGCAGCCGAGGTGCTCTCCGATAAAAATGGTCACAATGACTATTCCATAGTGAGCGATACTGCAAATTTGATTCCTGCATCTGCGAACCTCGCCACATTATAGTTCTTGCTGCGCTTCGCATTACCTCAGCGCCGGTAGCCAGCTACATGACTCCTCTCTCAGCTAAAGCGTGGTACAAGACCCCATCCTGGAGCTCATGATGTGTCATCCAGCTCGATATGCGGAGCTGGGTCTGACTTAGCAAGCCAGAACTGCCCGACTGCAAACGCACGAGACGCAACAACATTTGCAAACTCAATCGCGTGGCAACTGTCAGTTAATTGTCAGAATTTGACCGGCGTCCGTGGGTAGCGCTTAAATATAGATCGTATAGAGAGCTCAGAATTTGCCTCACGAGTGCCATATGATCACATTTTCAAAAGAGACTCTAGCGTTTGGAATAACAGTAGTCGGGGGAATGCGTACACACTTTAAAAGCCGTGATCTCGGGACCAAATGGCGGCGAATGTACCGCTGGGTAATTCGCGCAATGAATGAATAAGGAACATCGCCTTACTCAGATTAGCTTTAGGTGAGCTTTTAGCCAGATTTTGTGTTGCGGTACGACTGCAAGTCGTTTAGTGGTCAACTATGTGAGTGAATAGCGCGGCATGAACGTCGAGGGACGCTTACAGCCTTCAGGGTATGTTGTCGACTTTTATTCTTATCATCACAAGTCTGCTGGTACAGCTGAGGCCCAATCTTGTACTTAAAGTAGTCTATGTCCCACTCGCTAGTGGGAAGCATTGTGCTGAGGAATACTGCCACTTTCCTGAAAAAATACAGAGGGTGAGCTACGTCGTAAGTAGCCATCGGCGCCAGCGCAATCTTGTCGGAGTGGAGCCTCAAATTTTTCGGAAACATCTAGTCTACTTCACTCGAGTGTGATTACAAGCAAGGGGTCTTCTATCCATTCCACATACCGCAGTACCGCAGTACCGGCTGAGGACAACTCTTCCGCGGCTGACCGCTCTGAGCTTCCCAAACAATAGTAATATGTCAATTTTTCAGCGAATGTGATAAACCTACCGAAACATACAAAGTCTGCAGTGTATAGGGCTTGATGTATGAAGGTGGGAGTATGTTTTGATCATTTAAGCTGCGTCAAACTGTTTACGATCGTAACAAAAATGGATCAAGCTACACGTTTTACATAGAAATTTAAATTAAGTATTTTATGGACTTATCAAGGCCGTATCACGGTCCACTCTTATGGGTCTTTCAAATGTAAAGTGCTATGTGGAGGACAGGCATTCAGACCACCACTGTAGTTGAGCTAAAATACTCGCTAAAGTGATTATGCGGTTTTGTACTGCTTGTGAAACCTCAAACCAATCTGTAATTAGTGCAGCTCGAAAAAAACTAAAAAAGAACCATGCCAGTACCAACTGCACGACGAAATTTTCAAAGAAAGTCAGCGCGCGTATTATCGAAAAATCTCACAAGATTCAGCCGAGGGGAGAAGCAACCTCGCCAATACTACGCAATTGGAGTACTTCGATGCGGAATGAAGGGTACGTTACTTCGAGAACGCTCGTCATCAGATCACTAAAGTGTTTGTGGATGGCAATTGTGTCATTATTGTGCCAGGCTTGATATATCTCTAATGAGGTATTTCATCGTAGCAGCATTTTGGCTTAGTGTTAAAAATTGCAGCGTACGCGCTGACACAATGGTCAATTGCTCAGATTTGTACCAAATCAATTACTGTATCAAATATTAACCAGACTCGCCTAAAACAAAGTTATAATAAAAAATATGTAGCAAGCTGCATCTAGTGGTTGAAAGCGGTTTCTCCGAAGCAAACTCCGCATCGTGATCTCACAGGTGATATCCGTCTGGTATATGACAAGTAGAAGGTTGTTACTGTCCTTTACTACGAATTAATCTGAATCCTTCATCGCTTCCCTCGATGTTGTAGAACCTAAGATGCTATGAAGCGAAAATCGTATCAAATGGCAGCCGCAGAAAAATGAGATTATGTACTTCAGATGATACAGCATGACTCAACGTTATAACCCATCAAAAGTCATTCGTTAAAGATGTCCGTTGATGGTTTCCGATGATATCAACAGTACTGTTCTTAATGTCTTCCATCAGACCGAGAACCTCGTGGATAGTGATTGACTTGGCTTCGCGGTATGGGAAGACATGTTGATGTTGTGGTTCTTTTTCGGTGTCAAAAGAACTTGAGAACTGTAATATAGAAAGTGCGGGTACAATTTTTATATTTCATTATACGACAACTTCCCACCTATTCGACTATCCCGTTAGAAGAAATTTGATCCAGTTATATAGCTTGTGCTACTGCTAGTATATTCCATCCGTGATTCCGTTCTATCTCCCAAGTATAAGATGCGTCATACTGTACGCACACTAATTTGTCTTGAATCTTTGCAATAAATAATCCGAATTTTTAAGTGCAACAGGGTGGCTAAGCGACATATGAACCAACGCAAAACGATTCTAGCTGGAAGCGATTGCTTCTAAGGTTTATTCTTCAATTTTGTTACCGGCTATGGGTCTGTACCATTTGAGAACATCGTACTTATTATGCAAAAATGGTGCTCGTTGAAGCTATGTAGTAATGGCAAAATTTGGCTCAACTGCGGAACGATTTTATCAGCAGTTGTAGCACGAAAGCTTGCGCTTTCAGCGTCTTTTGGAATGTGCAGGTCTTGCGGCGAAAAACGCGTCGTCTTGGCGAAAATAAAGCGCGTGGATACAAGACTTGTCATTTTTACGATCGGAATATCGCAGCCGCTGCTATTTCATTGTATTTGTTTGAAGTCTCTAACCGAACCGTTGAATACATGTTTCGCTCCAACACAGCCTCAGATTGATGTATCCGATGCGCTTCGGCGCGGCAAATGGCTTATATTGAAGTCACAATGTGATAAAACTGTTAGCAACCCAATCGGGGGCCACTGCGGCTATTGTGCTAGTAGACAAGAAATTCAAATTTGTTAGATAGTTGTACTCGATCAGATGTCGTCGTCATCTCTGCAGCCCAACTATACGCTGAATGAAAAAGGGCAAGGAGGATCGAGAGGTAAAGCCTGGGGAGACTTCACTTGACAAATGTTGAAAGGAGTGATGGTGCATCGTTCTTGCACTTAGTGTGGAGAACATCAGTCACAGTTGATTATTCTCATGTTTACGTATATTGATTGCATATGTTTACGCTCACTGATTCAACATGATAGTGGGCAATATGTACACATGTTTGATATACGATGTATAATTGGCTAGGTGAAAAAATCTGTTGTGACTAGAAGGCTGAGAGGTAGCGCTATCAAACTTAGGACCTAAAGAAAAATTACTTCTCGATTCCCCCCCAACTACTCAAGTCAAGCTCTTCTCCCTGTCACCGCACTCGCAACGTTGATCCTGGTAGAAGCCTATAAGCGTCTGTGCTTGCCGATTTTGTCCTGAACATCACACAACTAGCTCTGAGACTAGGTCTGCGGTAAAATGTCATTGTGCTTGTCCCGCTAGTCCATTAGTAGAGGTCAACTTTATTGCAATTTTGTGCAACGCCGTAGTAACACTTTAGTGCAGCTCGGCGGATAACAAGTCAAGGCCGTCAACATCCGAACAACGGCTTCGGTCTTCAGTATCTAACAGGTTATGAGCCCAATGAACGACTTTATCATCAAAACCGAGCTGTTTGGCGACTTCAACTTGCCATTGTGAAGTTTCAAGATGAAGATGTATCTTAAGTATAAGGTACTATGGAGAAGCTGTGTCTGGCACGGAAACTTCGGAAGCGACGAAGCAAAAACCACATGCAGCAATTGTGTTGAATCTGAATGAAATACAGCTCATGCATGTAGTCAACGCGAAAGATGCGCATAAGGCATGGTCGACGCTAGAAGGGTCCCAGCGAACAAATAACATGGCGAATCGATTGTGGTCGAAGAAAAGTTCTCCTTGCTCAAGTTAACCGCTGCAAACATTAGTGAACATGCGATGGAGTTTGAGCGGTTAGTGATGGGGATGAACAGCGCTAATTGTGGTCCAAGTGGGGTATATATGTGCGTAACACTGCTAAAAAGTCTATTAAGATCGTATGAGAGTCTGGTACAAGCGTTACGCATGGCAGTAACGCATTCCAGCTTTGCAGATTTGGTGAAAAACTGATTGCAGAAAAAGTGCGTCAGAAGGAGTCGTCGCGTACTGAGGAAGCGACGGCGATTTTTTTTTCAACAAAAAGAAGGGCAAGCAAGATGCAAATAAGCAAAATGGTGGACGGTCGAAACGTCCATCAAGCGCATGTTTTAGGCGTGGTAAGAACACCCATTATGCAAGAGATAGCCGATCAAATGGCAAGGGATCTGGAGGAAGATTGGATCAGTCGGACGTCGCGTTACCGTGGCATAGAGTATGACCAATGGGAATTGAAACATGGATAGCGGTGCGTTCGCACACATGTGTAAGGAGCGCGACGCGTTTGTTAACTTCCCGGAAGAATTAACATAGCGCAATGTGTCAAGCGCGAAGGGTGGTGCAATGTTAAAGGTACTCGATTATGGGGCTGTCAAGCTTCGTGTATGCACGGAAAGCAAGTGGGTGAATAAAAGTCTGGAATAAACCCTACACGTCAAAGATCTCAGCGAATATCTATTCTCGTTGACCGCTGCATCCGCGCGAGGAATGACTGTCAATATGACACGCGACAAATATCTGTTGCAGTGGCAAGTGGAAGAAGGCATGGTACGCTCATTTACCTGAACACTGACATTACGGATGAGTGTCATATGGTTGAAGATGAAGCTAAGCTTTCGCATCGCCGACTTGATCATGCATCGTATCAAGCGGTAAACAAGGGATTGCCGATAACCCATGTGGTATATGTGCGACTGCGAAACAAGTGCGAAAAGCATTTGATTCAAGTGCAGAGAAGCTTGAAGCCAGAAAGAGTGTGCGCAATGACGACTTTGTGTGTTTGGATGTGGTCGGGCCGATCACACCAAAGTCCGAGTCGGGTTATCAGTACGTCGTGAGATTCATTTTGATGAAGAGTTGGTCACTATGTTGTATCCGATGAGAAAGAAGAGCGAAGTAACAGAAGCATTCATCGGTCTCTACAATAAACTCAAGGCGATAACAGGTTTAAACGAGAATGTTCTGCGTAGCGACAACGGTGGCGAGTACAAGAATGGATCGATGAAAGCGTTCCGCAAGTATGCCCATATCAAGCAAGAATACAATGTGCCATTCAACCCTGAACAGAACGGAATGGCTGAGCGTATGAATCACAATCTAGTAGATATGACGCGCTGCATGCTAAAGGACGGTAGCTTGGATAAGTCGGATTGGTGTGAAGCGATGCTGACTGCTGCGGACATTCGCAATGTATTGCCGAACGCTTCGCATCCAGACTCAAGTCTGTTCGAAATGGTGTTTAGGAGAAAGCCGCGTATAGAGCGTAGAGCGTATGCGAGTTTTGGGCAGTCAATGCTATGCTCACGTGGCAAAGCAAACACGCAAAAAATTGGATGACGCGGGAGTAAATTGGTCTTTGCTCGGCTATTTATGACAGCACAAGGCGTTTCGGCTGTTGAATGCAAGCGATGGATCGATTGTGATACAGCGGAGTGTTACATTTGCGGAGAACCCTACCGCGGCAAAGTCTTCAGCAAGAGAGAGAGAGAAAGGTGCCATTGATATTATCGACATGGAAGAAGACATGACAGATTATGAACATGACTACGATGCCATACCGATAGAAGAGAGCACACGAAGATGTGAAGAAGCACCACACACGCCGCCAAGACGTCCACAGGAGACACCAGGAAGAAAGGTACCAAATAACACGTGGGTTGAGCACACCAAGAAGGAACGGCGAAGAAGAATGTATGGTTCGTACAGAACGTAAGCAGCGGACTGTAGTGCACTATAACCAAGAGATCCCAAACATGAGGCGTAGAAAATTTAACGCTGATGACTGTGAAGATAACAACGGGTTGTTCTGTTTCAACATTGCTGGCAATGAAGAAAGCGCAGCTACGTACGAAGGAACCATGAAGAGCAAGGACTAGAATGAGCGGTTCAAAGTAATGAAAAGCGAAATGAAGTCGTTCAATGCTCACAATACATGGAAGCTTGTGAAGATGCCACAAGGTCATAAGGCAGTTGTTTGTAACTAGGTCTCTTGCATCAAACGCGATCCAAGTAGATATATAGTGAACTTTGAAGCGCGATTGGTTGCGAAAGGCTATACACAACGACCAGGGGTCGATCATACGGAGACATTCGCTCCTGTCGCATGGAATGAGTCAATTAACATCGTGTTGTCGATTGCTGCGGAGCAAAACATGGAAGTAGAGAATGTAGATGTTGATTCTGCATCTCTATGGTGACGTTAAGGATGAATTCTACATGGATCAACCAGATAGCTTTGAAAACAAAAAGCATCCCGAAACGAAGTGTCTGTTACAACGTGCGCTAAATGGAACGAAGCAAGCTGCACGTCAATGGAATGACAAACTGAACACACATTTGGAAATATGGAGCTTGAAAGATCAAGCGCAGATGCATGTGTGTATGTGCAGAAGATCGACGAAGAGTACAGCATCATTAGGATCTACGTTGACGATATACTGATCTTCAGCAGAACAAAGAAGAAGATTAATGGGATCAAGCACAATTTGAAGAAGATGTTTACCATAAAGAAGTTAGGCGAGTTAAAGTACTGTCTTGGCATCGATATTCACCGCGATCGAATGTGTAAGGCGTTCTTTATGAATCAGAAGGGATACATCAATAAATTCGCGGAAAAGTTCGGTATGGCAAAATACAAAGAAGTACATACACCAGATAATAATAATTCTAAGTTGGTAAAGATGCCAGAGGACGAAGTGTTTATGCCCAAGTTTCCATTCATAGATTTGGTTGGTGCGTTGATGTATGTGATGACATGCACGCGACCAGACGTTGCACATGCTGTGGGTGAAGTAGCAAAGTAACGTGAACGCTATCACAAGAGTCACTGGGTAGCAGCTAAGCGCATTCTCAAGTTTCTCAAGACTACTATGAATTATGAAATCTATCTCGATGGTTCTAGCCAGGGGGAGCTTTTTTGATACGCCGATGAGAGTTGGGCTGCTGATTTATATTCAAGGCGATCGAGAACGGGATATAAATTCTATCCTAATTCGAGCGCTGTGTCGTGGAAGTCTAAACGTCAACCGACTGTTGCCACATCAAGCACCAAAGCAGAATATTGTACAGTGCGACACAAAAAGGGTGTGATTACGGCAATTGCTGAAGGATCTCGAATATCAAGTGATTGTTGTTACGACAATATATCAAGATAATTAAGGGTGCACTGCGTTGGCAAACAATCCAGTGTATCACACACGTACCAAACATATCGCCATCAAGTATCGTTACATCCAAGCGAAGATAATGTCAAACGATCTCAGTATTGAATTTGGGCTAACAAAAGAAATGGTTGCGGGTGCAATAACGAAGGCATTACCCCGGTTTATCGAGAATATCAATATGAAATTGATATCAAGAATCGAACATGCACATGAAGGAGAGTGTTGAAAATAGTGAAGGTGCATCGTTCTCACAATTAGTGTGGAGAACATCACCCACGGGTGATCATACTCATGTTTACGTATATTGATGTTTACACTCACTGATTCAACATGCTTGTGGGCAAAAAGTACATGGGTTTGATATACGATATATGATTGGCTAGTTGAGAAAATCTGATGTGACTAGAAGGCTGAGAGGTAGCGCTAGCGAACTTAGGCCCTTAAAAATCACTTTTCAATTTTCCCCAACTACTCAAGTCAAGCTCTTCTCCCTGTCGCCGCATCCTGGTAGCAGCCTATAAGTGTCCGTGCTTGCCGATTTTGTCCTGAACATCACACAACCAACTCTGAGACTATGTCTGCGGTAAATGTCATTGTGCATGTCTCACTAGTCCATTAATAGAGGTCAACTTAGTTGTAGTTCTGTGGGCTAAAGGTACAAAGCCGTAGTAACACATTGGTGCAGTTCGGTGGATAACAAGTCAAGCCCGTCAGTATCCGATAAACGGCTTCACTCTCCAGTAGTTCAACAACAAAGAGCAGCAAGAGAGCATTCAGTGCGCAAAGTAGGCGTAGGTGGTCTGTTTGGACCCGGAGATTCAAGTTGACTATTTTTATCCGGTCATGAAACAGTTCGGATATGCGTCGAACATGAACTGACAGAAAAAAACATATTTTGATAAAGTTCAGATTGGCAGCGTCATGGACTTAATGAGAACGTTATGATGTCCTCTACGCGCGACAAATGTATGTCTTAACTATCAGAATTCAGCTCCTATATTTAATTTCGCCAATCAGCAATACTGTTTAGTTGAATACAACTGTTGGCTCTCTCGACCGGGAACATAATGTTAAAGGGCGTCGCGCCCCAAGCAAAAAAAATGCTGGACTCTGACCAAAACACGAAGCAGTGAATTGTGCTTGCTTCCAATTAGAATTATGCAGCCACAACCCCGACGCAAATCTCAATGATGAGTGGTCAATCGTCCCATCCGTAATTCTCTCAACCCGGTCGACTAGTATTGCCAACTGCTTACGTGTTAAATACTTATGGACAGACCACATCTCGTATGAGGAGGCTATTCGACTCGCTTAGCACGCTTAGTCACATCAGTCTGTAAAATTCGCCCCCCGCACGTTGTTTAAACATTAATTGCGGAGTCCGGAATGAAATACATTTTTTGAGCCAAAATTTTGGTGACACATTGTGTACTGATTGATTTTGTGATTTTGTCATCAGTACTGGCTCTGTAAGTCATGAAATAAAAAAATCCAGAATTATGCAGATTTTTTGGTCAGATACGAATCTGAAGCTCAGGCGAGACGCCTTTATGGACAGGAACTCAGGTCCTGTAACTTTTATTCTTCTTGTATGGCTCAAGAGAAATGCCCGCAGTAAATAGATTTATCAGCCTTGAAAGATTCTATGACTCGTATACATTGGTAAATTGTCGTATTAATTTCATGTGCGAATATTGTTTACGAAACCCAATTGACCATAAACACGATTAAAAAAACATCTATTACGGTATTCCGGAATTTTTACTGTGGTGCACACATGTATCAATATTTCTGTAGGAATCAATATGGTTGCTTTTACATATCCACAATGCAGCGTATTTTGCTGCAAGGGATCCGATACAACGGACTTTGCTATTTGTTTGAACACGCTCTTTATAAAACGTTTCGCGGCTATTGCAAGTGTAAAGCTTCTCTCTGAAATTGTCTCCCATTCAGTTTTGCTACATACCTGAAATAGTTGGAAAACAAGCCTTTTCGTACGTAGAATAATGACACTGTTTGATTTTACATCCATCAATTACATGCACTACACTAATCAGCATCAGTAAGTGGTACGAGGTCAAACGGAACATAGTTGTCAAGAAACAAGCCAAACGGTTACTTTCGCGCCTTTTCGTAGTCGTCACACGCACTCACTGTAGCCATGATCACCTTTAAAGAGACTTAAAGTGAAACGTCTTGTTCAAATATTTTCAAGACTCTTGTCATTATTGCAATAGTTCGTCTTATTGATCAAAAATTCGTTTGACTCTTATATCCGCATAATCCGCTGCCCATACGTTAATCGAGAACGCATTTCGCGTGTGGACCCGCGACGTTGTCTTTACCAGCTGGAAGTCATTTGACATTAATGCCCATATATATTGCAGTAAACGCTAAAGTTCAAAGTAGATGGATAGTCCATCACCTCGATATAATGAACCGCAATCGCGGGAAGGTACTGCGTCATGTTGACAGGCGATCGAGTGTCTTGCTCAGCTCGCATGGATGGCCACACAAAAGAGCTGCTGGGTCTCCTAGCCTCGAGATGAACCACTACCCGCTATAGTTTTACGAATATTTTGCAATGTAAAAGAAAACGGCCAGAACAGCCGTTTGCAGTGTGCAAAGCGTTGATCAGTTTTCCGACAATATTTTGTGGCACTTGCTGCCCAGTTGCTCTCTTTTTCTTTTCTCTCTCTCTCTACTGCGGCTGGTCATTGCTCACTATTAAACTCGCCGCCTTTGCAGTAGCTTCGTCCTTCGTCTGTCCCCCGTCCCGACGTCCGATGCCTGACCAACTCGGTGATGTTGTTGCCGTCGTGTCCCCTACAACTCTTGCTCCGAGTCTTAAAAACTTAGACAAACTACCAATTGTGCCTGTACGCGAGGGACGATCACAGTCTTTAACGACGTTGCCACGTCGTGCCTCGACTGCCAGTGTACTCACGGTAGATAACCACGACATTCTGTCTGAGTCGGAAGGTGGTGTTCGACATCCACGACGTGTACTCAGTTCTGGTACTGGCTGTTCGCTTAGTCTATTGCAACAAGAACTTGGCTATCCACGTAGTGCACGCGTGACGGTTGACAGCCATCGACATCGACGGAAATCGTTGCTCGAGACAACGTTAGAAAACTCGACTAACAGTGCGTGTCGTTCTGCTCGAAATGTGCACAGCAGTAGTAGTTGCAGTGTAGGAACTATGGACAGTGCCAGCGACTTTGAACGGTCACAATCCTTGCCTGAACCGGAAGGTGAGAGTCACATGGACCAACTACAGCTACATGATCATAGCTGGACATTTAATTCAGTCTCGTGCTCTCCACGAAGTGAAGCTGCGGGTGTTTCTACAGAAGACAGAGACGAAGAAGATGACGAGAATTTTATGGACTACCGTAGTGCTTCTGTCACTGGCTATAGCCGTGACACTGACGGTGTTGTGTATTACGAAGTTATCGTGCGTTCTACTGCTCACGGTCCACTTTCTGCTTACAAGGTGCGACGTCGGTACTCCGAATTCCGAGACTTGCACGCAGCTTTGAGTAAGGTCATGCCCGTCTCTCACCGAAAACTTGCGTCTGTTACAGCTATGGCGAGTATACGAGACGATCATAGTGAAGATGAAGACTCTTTGGTGGGTCTACGCTTTTCTATTACTGAATGCAGTCAACAGAGGGAATTGTCACTCCCTCCACTCCCTGACAAAGGTGGCATGTGGAGTTTTCTCCAGTTTGATAGCGTACCACTGCTCGAACGTCGAGCCGAGTACTTTCATGCAATGCTTGTAGCTGCTCAACGACACCCTGCTGCACGTGCTAGTCGTCTATTAAATGATTTTGTTGGTACACCCCCTGACCTCGTGTCAATGTACTCGAGTGTAGAAAACAGTTACGTGAGTCTCAATCGTTTTGCGGCCCCAAAATTGAGTTTCGATATTGAGATTCAAGAAAGAAAAGAAAAGGCCAAGAGTATCCGAAGACGTCGTAGCTCCCTCAAACGCCAAAGCTTTACCGGATCGCTCGAAAACGCATCTTCCAACACCTCGCAGTAAGCGAAGCAATTTCCGCCAAAGGCGAGAAGGTTATCATCTTTACAAAGAACGGCAGAACTGGTTGGGAATTTTCTTCGACAGATCAACCAGAGCATTCTCCCCCAACCTTATCTGTGCCATTTCTTTCTATATGTTACGTGTGTTTCGTACGTTAGTGTCAATTGTCAGTAACAAGAATCTTACGAATATTTAGCATGGATATGTTCACTGATATGTTATTTAAGTGTGATATATTGTGACATGAGAGTAATATGTTAAGATTAAATAACCGTGTGTTGTAGTTCAAGCCAACTGTGTAGATCTTTGAAACGCACTGACTTCAACAGGATCGATTCTATATCCTTACATTGTAGTTCAAGTCCACTCTATTCCTATCTTTACACAGCGATCCTAGTGGTTTTGAAATTTGAAATCTATTGAAATATGAGTTGGTGACTTTGATTGTACACATAGTTTTTTTCATACTGATAACAAGCTAAAGTATTGTCATCAATATATGTTGCAATCTGCTCTAGACTCGTTTTGACTATTTTCTTTACGGCGGCACCATCTTGTGAATATACTCGGCAATTTCTGGGTCGAGATACTCAGACAGCTCATTTCGGGTTACCCAGACGTAATCATTAGCTTTGTTTAAATTCAGTATCACATCTCCGGTAAGATGTTGTGACTTGTAGAAAAACACTTTGGTGCCATCAAATTCCGGGTCGTTTTCGTGCAGATACTTAATGTATCCAACAGGTCCAAATCCTACAGGCGTCACTTCAAGATCGTTGCCTACTGTATCGTTAACGTGGCGAACTGCAGCATCGCGCATCTTTTCAACGTCTTGCTTCGCACCGAAAGGAAAAAACCACGGATATTTCGCATCCTGCTGAACCGACTTGACCAATAGAAAGACTCGACCCTTTAGTGCGCGATTAAGCGACTTGCGATTGTTGTTGGCATCATCTTCAGTCTCCCTAGGAGCAAGATGAAAGCCATCGCCTACAAGCTCATCTGAACTCTCTTCAGCATTAGGCCATGGAGCTTCTTCTGGTGTAATGTGCTTGGTACCAGGTTCCATGAACCAAAAATCTTCATCTAGCCTCTGATCCTCTCGCAATGACTTCTCATGAAGCATCACTTCAAAATCCACCTCCCAATCCTTTAAATCAGGCTGTATGATCGGTAAACGCTCTAAAACACCAGCACTAAGCACTCGCCATTTCTTGCCGTCGTCTACAGGAGGTGACACAAGAAAATTCTGGCGGTGGGCCCGATGGCGTGGTTGCTGACGTGGGGGCTGAGGATTACGCTTACGCTCCGCAATTTTAGCTTTTTGGCGCCAAGTTAGACGATTTCTGTTGCCGGATGCAAATGTGCGCAATTGAGTCGCTTGAATGTTTAACGCAGCACGCGTGAGGCCGCAATGAAGGGCTAGCATGGTCACAGAGCTTTTTGTTTGGCTGGCTATCACTGCGAAATATATTAGAATCTGTAATAAGTACTATTTATTATAATTATAAATTATAACATTCCAAGTCTTAAAAATCCTTGTTAAACAGTGGGTGATTAGATCTACCAGGAATTTTCGCACCAGCTTCTGACACTTTGGATACGCTCGTTGCAACGATGTTGCGTCGTGCTTCAGATCCTGCCGATCGAGCAATGGCAGGTGCATTTCGACGATCTTGCACTACCTTTGTCCACTTGTCGATTTCAACTCGATCCTGCTCATTAAAAAGCAGACGGTGATGCGTTGAAACAGCTAGCACACTATCAACGATTGTAGTGGCCCACCACTTGTTACGATTGTTATACAATGTCCGAAGTACTGGCATCATCTCTGCGTGCAGTCGCTGCATTGTTTTATCGACACCTTGACTTTCTTTACTACTCACGATTTCATCAAAGCGACGTTTTATCACTTTTGCAGCTTTATTAAATTGATACGTATCATCTGTGAAGAGCTGTGCGTGCGTGAGGGCCAAAAACTTCCACATGTCTAGCTTTTGACTTCGATCGTTTCGTTCAGCATCTTCGACCGACAAAATTACTTCGCGCTTTATATCCAGTGTTTCAATAAGCGATTGGAATTCTTTTTTGCCGCTAAGAACGTCTCCCTTTTCATCAATAACTTTTGTTAATGACTTCATGAACATCTCGCTTGATTCTACCGTCATTCGATCGAGCATTAACTGACAAAATAACGCACTGGCCTTGGCAAATTTCTTATCAACAAGCTTCAATGACATTTTCAGAGTTAAAAATAATGGTAATTGTCAGCGTATCAATGGCTTTGGATCAGACCGTCAATGCACGAACCATATATCCTTCAAGCTTCGTTATGGTAGCCGATACATCTAGCGGCTGATGCTGCTTACGTCGGCGCTTGGCTGTTCCTTCTTCATTTAAAGTCTCGTTTGACTCCTTCCTGCTTTTAATCTCCTCTTCTCGCTCGCGTTTGGTCTTTTTCGGCACATCCAAGCCGCTGTATAAGTCATCGTTCATCATCGATCTAAATGAATTTCTAAAGCTCAAAACTATATGTTCTTACACTTGAGATATATATGCGATTTGCATTTTACCAATGTAAAAGTTCTAATGTTATTTACAAATTAACTTTTAAAACCTTATGGGTTATGTACTTTACATGATAGTGAAGTATCATCACCTGTAATTGTGAATATTCAAAAATACTTTGGTATTGTAAGTATGAAGATGAAAAATTTCCGCAATGAGGGGTACGTTTACTCGTGGGCTGCTGGTCGCATCTTCAGCAATCACAGACAGAACTATTAAGAAAATTTTCAAAAACATAGAGATTTTGTACTAGTTTTAATGAAATTAATTATAAATGTGCTCTTGAATAGATGAACAAAAGCTAGAAAGGAGTTTCGTAGAAGATTTCGGGTCTGTTCCTGGTCAGAGCGTATGAATCCAACCTATGTGCGATTAAAATTGCAAACTGTTTAATTCAAGCTTGGATTTTGTAACCTTTACGATAACCCCCTTGTACCTAACTTACAAAGTCAATTGCACGTCCCCATCGTGAAAGAGTACATCCTCTTCAAGACTCGAACATGAAAGATTCGATCACCTTCCCCTGGATAATGAGACAACACGCTTGGAAAGCCTATGGCTTTTGCTGGCCCCGAAGGGGTCCGGGAGCTGGTAGCCAAATGGCCGGATGGTGTAATTTTTCGCCCTCAGGTGTTCACGATTCGGCAATGCATTAAACGGAGGAATAGCGCATGCCGCTTTAGGAATCTAAATTAGGTAATTGCGCGCGAAAATGTGCATATCCGAGATTTTTGTGACAAGGAGTTTAGTGAAAGTGTCGAAGGTTCTGTTAGACCTTCTAGTAAACTTGAGAAGTGTTACAATTTAGAACTATTTCTGACCGTGGACGTGAATTCAAGATAAGCTCTACTCTTTAGTCTGGAGTGGCTTGAACCCCGCGAGCCTCGGATCAAGTGGAAGCTAGAGACGGTAGGTGCCACGCAGTACAATCTCGATGGAGTTTAAAGTTGTGAGCCCACTCTTCTCAAGAAACATAAGCGATTTCCGTGCAGAAACAAAGTCAGGATACCATCAATGCATCATATGTAATGTCCGATTTTCATGACAAATGTAATGCTGACAGCTTGTGACACTTCAGAACGTAAAAGCTGGAATTGGCATTAATCCTCGGTATCACGATGTAATAGAGCCAAGCAGTCGTGTGTTTCGGTTCCCTAATTGTGTACTATCGACTCAGGATCAAGCGATTGTACTTCTTGGTCCACAAAATCACAAAAGGTATCTTTGGTGAAAAAGTATTAATCAGCTGTAAGCTACCGTCTTCTTTGCCAGAGCCGATAGCGCTGAAGAGCTACTGTTAGTCGCAGAGAGTAGAGTCAGATCCATTGGGTTTTAAGGAGAAATCACCCATTTCAGGTCTTAGAAGTACCGCTGTATCAGCACAACAGTAAAATGTGCCGACCGTGCGGAGCAGTAAATATGTACAGGAACGTGGCGAAAACTCACTCGATGGAGTTTCACTAGCAGTCTTAGGGGGTGTAATTTATCCCTCATAACATCCGTTTAAGTTCTACAAATAAAACAGTTTTTTTATAAGGTTTGAGCAAGAAATTGCAAGACGGCGAGGCCGCTGAATCAACTTGGGTTATATCGAAGGAAGAAAATCGTGATAGATAAATGTTTTCTTAAGGTCACTAGCACGACTCTAATTCGACAGCCATCCTCCGCAATCCAACGAATCTTCTTACTTTTTGCGGAAGGAACTCCAGGGCCTGGGAGCAAGAGATCTACAAGGCCTATTACCAGCGGATAGGGGAGCACGTCGTGGCCCAAAAAAAGCGACACTTGGCGATGGTCCATATCACAAGATCAATTTATTATCAGTGACGCTTCCTTACGTGCAAGGCTCAAAGTAGGCTCGGTGAAGGGGGGGGGGCTTTACTATTTGGCGCCGAACTCTGTCTCAAAAAGGTGTATGGCAACAGGCAATTTGTGCATGGTTTTTATAGGCTATTCGCTGCCAAGATTCCGGCACAAACACCTATCGTTAAAAATTGTGCTTAAAACAACATGATCGGCTGCGTTTGATCGATGCCATAGAAAATGTTCATCAAAATTATGAACTGCTAGCGATATCTCTTCCACTGCAGTGAATGTCATCGAGCAAGATGTTCTGGAAGTGATTGATCTGATGCCTTAGGGGATATTTAAAGCAATAGCACAATCCATCATCAAACAACGCAGCTTTTTAGGCTGCAAATGCTTAAGTTCATATTTACCATTTTTTGCCCATAATCACGAAGAGCATTGGGAAATGGGTGTGGAAAACCACATAACACACCTTCGAAAAGTACTCGTGCGTGTTTGTACAATCAGTCTGTCAACATATATAAGTATTTTTTGGCGCCGATATGACATAATATAAAAGTATGCTGACCTCGCAAAGATAAATGCCGTTTAGGCGTTGGTAGTCCTGTGTCGCAAATTAAGCTGAATATAATAGATCAATCTGGCCCATATTCTGGTATGGTACGACCTGTCACCAATATCTTCGTTAGTTATATTAAAAAGGTATTGGGGGTTGAGACAAAAGGGTGGCATTTAAAGCTGTAAAAGAAAATATCATAAATATCGCACATCTGGCACACATCATACATTTTATGTCTTTGTGACTATTCAGCCATTGCCATAGGCTATGCACTTTCTAATCAGATGTCGATTAGTCAGCCCACGTGATTGCGTTTGAGCTTTGACTGCTTCAAGCAGTAAGAAAGAGATCTGCCCTACTGACAGAAAAGGATCTCTTGGCAAAGAAATATACCCTTGTCAAGTCATTCGCTGAGGTTTTTGTGGTCGATAAAGATCATGCCAAGCAACCTCGTCACCACATCTCACAGACAGCAGCAAGTTTGTTATTCTTCTTGATCCGATCTACCTGTAAGGTATGTTATAAGCCGGCTCTATCTGATGGATGGCGGATGCTATTCTTGTCGCCCAAACTATGGGCTTGCCGTGAGCTGTGATGGTATGTCTACAATTGATGAGGAGACACATATGACATTTGGGTCAAACGAAAGATGTGCTGCAACATCAACATTTCGAAAAGCAATGAGATTGGTCACTCAACATATCTTGATATCTCACGTCAAGGACCTCAAATATAAAAAAAATGTAGGAGACACATAGTATGGCCATTTAGAAACAGAAGCGGCATAGTGTTACGTAATGACGGCCAGTACGAATAAGTGAAAATCAAATGATAGACACTTGGAAAGACGTGTCAACAGGATACTCCACCCCACAGACGCGGCACCTGTAGTCATCCTACCAGTTCCTGCAGAGTTTTGGTAGTCAATATACACGGACTTTATTTTCGGCCTTCAAAAAGAATGCGTTCACTTGTACTAATAATGTGGTCTTTGTGGTTCTTGCAAGCCAAATGCCCCATCTCGTTGATGCAAGCAATAATGTAATGATAACAATAAAGCCAAGCTACTCTCTGACAATGTGTTTAGCTAACGTGGCTTGGCGGGTGCCATCGTATCGTATCAAAATTCTCGCTTTACAGCAACGTTTTGGTGATTTGTCTAAAAATGCCTGATGCCAGATTGGCATGTCTGCGACATACCCTCTCAGACAGATAATCAGACGGAACGCTTTGATCGCGCAATCTAAATCATACGATCTTGCCCATACAAGTTATTTGAATGTGAAGCGCTCGAATGAGACGTAGCAGCCTCGCCTTTGAAGCAGCGACGCGTCTGAACCGCGAGGGATACCTCAAGCCAAGTAGTGTGTTAGCAAAGCTCAGAGAGTGCATCCCATATCTGACTCATCACAAAGCGTACGGCGTGCTTTCAAAGACGGTTGACATGCCGCTACAATCGAGAAAGGCCACAGGAGTGTCGTCTTTCACCGGCATAACTCAGTGACCCACTTTTACATGAGTGCTTAGTGGATCAGCCCCTACATAAGGTCTTCTACCAGTATTTGATAAAGTTGAATGAAGAATTCAAATACAAGAGCTCATGTCGACAGCACGAGTTGGAGACGTTGGACTGTTACCCCGACGCCCGCGTCATGTTTTGTTCTTCGCAAAGACAAGCAATAATGGACTCCATACTAGGATTTTTTGGACTTTGCTGAAGCTGGCTTACTAATACTAAAGATGAATGGAGCAACATGTTTTGTCCGCCCAGTTCGCAGACTAAGCTCGATCTCATCTCTAAGTGTGTCAGCTCCTAGTGCCCAAGGTACATATATATAGGAATAGTAGATTTTCCAAAGCGTTGCGGCTCTAGGAGCAAACGGCAATTTTATAGAAATACTGGAATTTAGAGTGCGCATGTAGTGTGACGTACTGGCGCTCGGTTCACTCTCGTTGTGGAAGACCTCCACGCATTGGTGTGTAAAGTCTCTACTCCTGGCGTGGCAAGACACTTCGGCTGATTGACGTGATGAATTTCGCGTTGGCGTGACCTTGTGCTTGCAAATTAGCAAGCTAGACTTTTTACATCACATCCAGCTCGTGGTGATGCGTCGGACTTCATCGTGCGCTCCACGGTGGGATGATTCAAACAATCCGCTGCTGGAAATGGCATGGAACTGAAATTTGTGCCGAGGAGAGGATGATTGCAGTAAGCGCCTCCCACTTGGTAAACGACCTGACCGTATGTCTAGATGTGTGAGAGGAGTTCGATATCTTCACCGAGTACATTATGACCGCCGGTTGCAAGGACCGCGGCTTTTTAAAAGCTCGCTGAGACGTATAATGGTGTACACGGGAACGATTCCATGACGAATTTGCTATCAGGGGCAGTATATGTAGAGTAAAAAGTGTAAAGTGAAATTCTGCTCATAGTAAGTGCTTGTTCGTCCCACCATGTGGAACACAGAAGGCACACGGTGTCTAATGGGGTTCGTCTTTAATCTTGTTTGAATACACCTTACATTTCAGTATATTTTGTGCAGATACGATGTTGGTCAGCTGTACGAAATTTATACTACATGTTTGCATATTGTGAATATTCACGATTCTGACGTATCAAACTTATACATTGAATGAAATTCCGATCGAAAGAGGTCCGTGATACCTAATCAAGCAGAACATATAGTCTTATGAATCAGATATAGTAAACATATATTTTTGGGGGAGAATAAAAAAAATGCCCCAACTTTTGCCATAATAAAAAAATATCCCAACTTTTCAAAAAATAAAAAAAACCCCAGCACGTAAATTATCACCGGGGAGCCGTAATATTACACAACAGAAGATGTTTGTATTAGGAATGAATTAGCATAATTTAACAAAAATACCCCACAATAACAAAGTATACATTAATATGCTATAACCATTCAGTTTGCTATTAATTAAGTATGAGCCTGGATTATTTCAAGTCTCATACTTGAGCGTATGCTGTAACAGTAGGCTCTTTAACAACACTGATGTCAGCAGAAGAAAAAGGTGAGGCTGAGTGCCTGCCAAGACGGGGGCGCGCGCTCTACAGTTTGCTGATTTAATATTAAAAGTGACGCCCTAGTATGGTCAGGAAGCGGTTAAAAAGTTAATATAGCGTACGCCATTATCACAATGTCATATAGTCTTGAATAACATGATCGATGATCGCTGCATAATTTGACCTTGCAGACTACAATTAGAGAGCATGCCCACGAGTGCATAGAACCATTTCCTTAATGACTCCAACAATCCTCGTAAATACCGATATTTCGGTACTATGATAAACCGTCACAGAAGGAATGTTCTCGTACAAATGGTCAGCATTGTAAGTTACACAACTACACAAAGGGGTGAGGTGTATGTATATACAAAAAAATAGAAATATTTCTGGTAAATCCTTTGTAGTATGATACCGAACACATTGAGGATCTACTGGGCATCCTTGCAGACTAACATGCTTGTTTCGAAGAGCTTGCACGCATCCAAAGTCTTCTAATGTACATCTCACCTCATGGCTCAACTATTTCTTGGAAATACCTACAACCTTAACGCCGTTGGCCGAGAAATTTCAATAAGACGGTCGCGGCGAAAATTCGAATCTTGACTCAGCACCTCCCATCTCACCCGAATAGTTACGGCTGATGAGCTCGCCGGGGATGGAGCTTACCGCCCCGTCGTACCTACGCACAAGGAGCTCCGTGTCATATTTCTACGGCGAGTAGTGCAGCAGCACCTTGCTGTGTAGCTCACGAGGATATTCAACTCACCATCATCGAGCTTGACCTGTTCAGGAAGCACAGCTTATTCGTCTGAAAGCGCAAGATAAATTTATCGACTCCTGACAACATTATTAAGTTATGAGTATGGCTTCAAACAATGAAAGTAGACCGCCGGGCTGAGGCTGAGTAGCTCTACAGGATCTTGAATCAATTTTAAGCGCTTGGTTAGCGCCAGAAACCTCACTACACAAGCTCTTGCTAGCCTTACGTCAAACCATCCCAAAAATACCGTTTGCGCTTGGAGCTATGGCTTTGGGAGTTATTTTCTTCACAAAAATTGCAGTCTGGATCGTGAATAGTGTTGAAAGTATTGTGCTTAGGGTGAATATGGGCAAGAAAATCAAGCTGTGTATCTTACTCATACGATGCAGGCCAGCTTCAGTGGTGCGAGCGTCCAAATCGAGCATGCGAAGCACTGAGCTCGATGTAGGCATAAAGAAAAAAGTCCTTCATCTCTAATATCTTTGGTTTATAGCCCCGTTTGTGAGACAGTTGTTCCAGCAAGTATCGAGCTTGCAAATGTTCGTTTCGATAGTACGCCGCGACAGGCGACCGTTCTTCTTCTTTTTGAAAGATGAAGATGAATTTGACGCCGTGTTGCAAGCGGTCACAACACTAAAGAACATGCCGAGGAGGAACCTCAAGCTTCCATAAGACAGTTTAATGAGGCTATCCCTCTCACTACACAAATTACTGATGACCGCTCTGGTGTACCCACCGGCTCACTAACATTCCACGTCTAAGTGAATTATCCCTGTCGTATCGAGCAGTGTCGGCATGACATGCATTTAGTGCAGTTGATGCTTGTAGGCTCGCTGAATTGAAATGATATATCGACACTCGACAAAAGTCTCGGCGTTCTTACGAAACAGAGATGAGCCAGTATTGATGCGCACTCTGAGCCGCACTATCGCATTTTGTGTCGTAAGATCCTTCAGTAGTCGGATTTGCGTCGCTGCCGTAGAGCAGAAAGAAGCTGAGTTACAGGGAATAATGGCGACATTCGGCTGGCTCGTTTGGATGGGACCGTGATTTGTATTTTTGTAAGCTCACGTGGAACATTTGTATGTTGCCTTGTTTTCGGGTATATTTTATAACCGCGAAGGGCTTGATAAATCGTGGTCGCTCTTTAATCTAAAAATTTGCATACATGATAATTTGCATTCGATGTTATCTTTTTTACAGAATATTCGTAGCGTCTCGAGGCAATCGATGCTCGTCCTGATTGAGATATTGCGATAAGGCCGCAAAACGTAGCCGAATAGATATAGGTAATCGTTTTTGATCCAATCGCCTAATCTTCTTAAGAATCAAAGTAGCTTTGTGGCAATGTACACAGTACCGAGAATCCATGGTAATAACAGAACCATTAATAGAGTTGCGTGAGAGAGTAGATACATGTACTGCACTATTCAACGCAATTCAACGAGAGAAAACATCTCGCCTCAGTTCCACGATCTCTTCGCCCAAGTCCATAGGACTAAATTTTCATCAAGCGATTAATGCAATCTGTCTGCCCATCAGGCTGCGGACGGTCAGTGGCTGACGTGTTTAATCTAGTATCAAGCACCTTGAATTTCGGTTGCTATGGTTTCGTAAGTTATATTTTGCTGATGTAATATCATGATGTGGCGACGAGAGATGTCATCGCTGGACAGATGAGTGTTACTGAAATCGGCATGGTTTCTGTAACCAAATATTTCGTCAAACGTCGATGACCCTTACCAATACACATTATAAACTCATTCATCTCTTAGTACAAATATCGAGGTGGGGTTAGTTTAATAATGTTAATCTCCACACCCGGTGCCATTTTAGTATCAGAAAAAATAACGGCAAGCGCCGAATCGTATATGCTTATTGTAAGCCAAAAGAAAGCCATATCTTTGGCGCAAAAGCCGATTAAATGAAGGATGAGATGCAGAACAGCAAGAAGAACTGTATTTGGTTCAGTGCTCTCGACTTAGCTTATCGTTATTATTAATTGCAATCAAGAGACATTTTTTTCTACTGCTGCGGTAATTCACCGAGCGGGATGCTCTGAGAGTGAATTGTGTTACCACGAGAACAATTTAATGCACAAAAGACTTTTGATCGTCTTGTAAATTAGATATTCAGTCTATAACGTGGCTATGCTTATATTATTTTACGGTTTTTTCGTGCATAGTCGTACAGAGAGCGGGAATAGAGACGAAGAAAACCGCGCTTCGGCGCAAGGTTCGAATGTATGCTTCGAAAAGCTATTTGAAATTATGAATAAATGTGTTGTAGAAGCGACAGATTTCTTTCCTAAGTTGATTCATAAAGAGGCTGGACCTGTATGCAGAACCTGCGAAGATGAAGGCATCTATGAAATTGTCAGTACATCTATTCCCAGAAATCCTTAAAAAGTGTCTCGTTCAGTCTAATGTCTTGACAAAGTACAGTGTTAGCTATATCAACCTGGCACGACTTCTAATTAATCTCTGTCGCTTTATCGAAGCGCGCGATCGCACACCTGCACTGCCATGTCTTATCTCAGGCTTTCCTGTATTGCAGCACTGACCCACATTACATTCAGCTTGTAGAAGTGCCTTCCGATAAGCACCTCAAGTTGAAAATGCATATAAAATGATACTCGCGGGGGGAACTTGGTTAGCGCTATGTATTGGTGGCTACCATGTATCAGTAGGTAAGCAAATGTGTGAATGGAGCCAAAAGATCAAGACCTTGCCGCACGTGGTGGAACCTATTTAGTATGACCCGTCAGATGCTGGCGGTCCATTGGCAAGGATTTTTTTCGTCTTCCAGAAGTTGGATAATACCATTACTGTACTTTTTGTAGACCGCCCGCCAGCAGATAGCCATAATTTTGGAGACAGACATGTGTAGAGATGACGGTATTATAATTTCTCATCGTGAGGAATCACAATTCGTGGCGTATCCGTCGAATCGGTGCTATAGTACAGCAACCCTATAATGTGCTTTACAGTGATATTTTTAAGGTGTTCAGCGCCTGATTAGACATGTCGACCGCCGACTATACGCAGATAAAGATTATACGAAAGACGTGAGGGCAAGCTGAAACGAGCTGACCCCGCTCATTATGTTTCTGTTATATGCTATAGTAGAGAGATCTACTGTCTTTTACCTCATTATTCATCAATGATTTGGTAACACCACAAAAGTGGCACCAGTTTTAGCGGAGGAGATTCTGTCGATCCAAATCAACAGCCTACACTTCGTAGCAAAACTGATCAATTTATTTCGATGAGATCAGAAACAAGCTGGCGTCGGTACAACAGCAAGGTGTTAAAATATTTCCGCCATTTGAATAGGCAAGGAGTTTGGTATTCGTGCAGCGGGAAGACTGAGATTCCCTCCTTCCAAGCGACTAGGCGTGAGGTCTTAATTGTTACTTATTAAGTGCACTTGCTTGAATTAAACGCAACAGAGTCATAGTGCACAAAAGTATATGCGGTATCTGCTGACGTCAGCAAAATTCGTCATCCTGAAGTCAGCACTTGTTGGTCACTATGACGTGATCAAGGATCATAAAACAGTATCAGGTTGAGGTTCAACCAGACCAGAACCAACATCAGGTTGAGGTTATAGAAGGTTACGCTCAAGTTCACGTAGCAACCAGTCATTTCAGACAGCATAAGTAGGAGTCAATCACTTTTCCACTGTCTCCTTTTCATTTTTCACTCTCCGACAACAGTCTCCTTTTCCATTCTCTACTAACGAAAAATAAAAGTATCCATTAGTTCCAGAAAATTGATGTTTACGAATTTCGAAATTTCGAAAAGGATACACACCCACCCAGTCTTTTCTTTACGTATGTTACAGTAATCAGGATGTTTCGTCATGCTACTCTAGCTTTTCTATGTCTCGCACTAAATCTGAGGACGATAGTGTTCGTTTGTCTGATCGATAGACCATCGAGCAGCTTCACTGCGCTTTGAGGAGGGGCTTTACTTACAGCATCTTTGATAGCACGATGAGCACGCCTAACTGCATGAGATAACGGACCGGAACGTTTAATCGAAGGGCTCGAGGATGAGTCAAATTGCGATTTCTCCGGGTTTAGCATGACATTATCAGGAAGGTTGCCTAAGAAGGCTTCGAGCTTTATTATCTTTCGTTTGAGTTCGCTGGATTGATCATTAGGGAGTGTGAGAGATGTTGACGCTTTGGAGGCAAACACATCGAGCCATTCAGCTCTACTATAGGGTGCTTCGGCTTTGTTCTTCGCGTGAGCGACTTGAGGGTGGTGATTCTGAGATAGTCGTGGTTTCTTGACCTGTATAGGATCGGAATCGGTCGCGGTTAGGCTGTTATGATGTTTGGCTTGGTTGATGAATCGGCCGCCTTCCTTCAAGACATCAGGCTGAAGTTTGTGAGCTGCATCGGTAAGCTGATTGTATTCAATTTTGGCGATCGTCAAGTCTTCTCTATATTCCTGGATTTTTGCTAAAAGTTCGTCGGCTTTTACTTTGAAGTCGGCGGGAGAGCCCAGATTGTCCATGATCATTTTGCTTAGGCCAGATTTACCTATTTTGGCCATCTCGTCATTACTCAATTCTGGCAGAATTAATTTCACTATATCGTTGCTTGGTTTGTCAATGATATCAGCTAAAGTGCTGCGAAATTCATCAGTCGTGGCGTGTACCACGCGGCCATCAATCCCTGTTAAAGACCTTTTGGGTGATGTCTTGGGGTCCATGCCACCGATTTCATTCTTTCGAACATTTGGAAGCTTGATTTGAATGGATTCAGTAGCTGTGCGAGCACTGGATGCGATGAAAAGAGCTGTGACCACGTAGAATGCACCGCGCATGAGGAATCAAGTGGATTTCTTGCTGTATAATTTTGAGATATGATTCTTGAACAGATTCACGTCTAAAAATGTTGTTGTGCACTTTCATATATTTCGGATCAGATATTTTTGAGCAGCATTGCTATTATTTTTACGGTATCACATCTGAGCCTGAACAGTTGTTTGTGCATAGATATGTTTTATGTAGTTAATGATCGTTTTCATATTACTCATTTATACAGCTGTAAGGTCTGGATTTGACTGAAGAGTTACCCACACATGAGAAATTGTTCGACATTGCCACCAAATTCAAGGATAAGCAAAATGCGATTCAAAAGCTAGGCGGCAACACAGATTGTACCCCGTGGTTCGCACTTTGGTACTTGATATTTCACGATTTCGGTACGAAGGCAGAATTCATCACTACCAAAGATGCTAAAGCTCTAACTCCTAAATAAGCTAGCACGACATTTTCGCTGTGATATCTCGTGATCATAGTGTTGAAATACACTTTAATACACTCGATTTTGGGTTTCATACACCAGCGAGGTTGATTTTTACACCAGCGAGGTTGATTTTTCTTTAAAAACCACATATGCGTCAATAACTTGGCCAACGAACTTGCGTCACAATGTGACGTGTGAGGCGCTAGTTCTAGTAAGCTATACAGCAATTCGTCTAGGTTTAAATGATAACTGGCGTTATCCGGTCTCAATATCTTCAAAAGTAGTTCACAAAAGGCACAAACTGCTCAAACGCGTAAGTAAAATATCGTTCACGGAAAACTTATCTCAAGATGCCATGATTTTCAAAAAGCCGTGTATGTTGACGAGGTGGCATCTGCGCTCGATGCTTGTGTGTCCGAACATTTGAGATTTTTATGGTGATATTCTGCCTTTTTAAGTCACGATAATCATCAGGTTTTTGAATTTTGTTGTAGTATTGCTGTTTACCTAATTAAATTTAAGCAAATAATTTTACCAAACTTCTGTCCAAAATTTTGACACTTTAAAATATTCTCAAGTCTATTATACTGTATTGGCAGAAAATAAGGTCAGTTGTGTCATACTCCCTCTGTCTCAAAATAAAACCCGTGTTTTGGAAAAATTCGCAAACATAACGAGATTTTTAACCGGAATTCTATCAATTTTTGTTAGACGCAAAACAATACTCAGTGAGTGCTCCCTAGTTTTTGTGCCCAACCAAAGTTTCTACGTTGAGATATCTACTGCCAAAAATCGAGATTTGGTCCGTCTTTTTTGGGCACCGCTGGTAACATCAAAATGGAGCAATTGGAACCCGTCGCTCTCATGGCCATTGAGGAACATCATGACAGTT